TAATTACGTATATTTTGTCGAATTATTTGTTGATTTATTGAATGATCAACCCATTTTTTGCCTGCCAAAACCACGTGATTTTATGGCAAAACTTATAAAAAGAAAATCCGGAATTAACGACGCGCCCCGATTTTTTATAACACACGCAAATTACAATACACAACATTCGTTACCCTCGACTACATCATTCTAAACCAAAGAAATCCCACCCACATATAAGCAAGGAAAGAAACCTACCTTTTTATTTGTACCAGACATCTTGTGAAAGAAATAAGGCTAGGAATGGTATGCCATTGTCTTCAGATTGCCAAGGAAGCAATGGCGAAGAGAAGGTAGGAAGAAGAGAATAAAGGAGGACGACAAGTACTGTAAATATCAATCGTTCGCAAATAAAGAAGAGATCAAGGAAATGCTTACCTGTCTTGGTGTGCAAATGTTAGCCCCGAAGAATAAAAGTACCAGGATGCTGATGAGCGATCGTGGTGGAATTTTGATATCATGACGCGAAATCGGAGCTGCAACAAGAAAGCCCTAAGAAGAGAAGAAAAAGGACAATGCCAAGCTAATACCGGTTATCCAAGAATAAAGAGAACATACCTACGTAACCGGGATGCTGATGATCACGGAGAAACTCTAGGATCAAGGGACACTGCGACGCAAGAGAGAAAAACCGGTAATGCCAAATGGCAAAGAATTGGAACTACCTATAATGGGATTCCAACAGTCCGGGTGATAGGGACATCAAATGCTGCAAGAAAAGGGGCATTAAGATCATGGGAGCTATAAGGAAATCGGGAGGAAAGCAAGTCAACAATAAAAGTCAAATGAATAAACCTTACAAAAAAAAAAAAGAGTTAAGTATAATTTTTGACAGCACGATGAAAGTATATGGCCCTGAAATTGGAAATACCGGGATGTTGTGGGATCAAGACCACTATGAATTACCAATGCTTCAAAAAAGAAAACAAGAATGGGTTAAAGAAAGAACTGATCAACCGAAATTAAACAAACAAACATAATGAACGAAACGCTTACCTGTCAGCCCCGATTATGTGCCAGGATGCTGTGTATATAAAGGGAAGCGTATGCACTAACAAGATCAAAACCACACCGAAGAATCAGTATACCAGGTTGCAGAATAAAGAAGAAAAGGATCTTCACAAGAAAAACTCTGGGAACGTTGGACATTGTGGAAAGAAAAATCAAAAGAGTTTAAATGAATAGATACAGGACTTACCTATGCGACGACAGCCCCAAAGACTAAATTCTGATCACGATTATGGGATCATGATCATCGACAGCCAGAAATGAGAAGTAGTAGTGATAAGAAACTCAAGGTAATGTGGCTACTAAGCTAACTAGGAAGGAGCTGGAATTTACTTGCAAGACGATTCCAATATTAGTTATAGATATATCAGAATACTAAGCAAGAAAGAATGAGTGAAGGCACCCAAAGGCAGCAAAAAAGGATGCCAACCCTATGAGAACTGTGGTTGAAATGGTAAGTTAGTAGCATAAAATTATCTAAACATTCCAAATAACATTTTTAAGATAGATATCAATTTTTGTACTAAACTTCTCATTACACCAGTCGAATATTGCCGATATTGTCTTTTTAACTCAAGGCTATATATGGAGAAGATTTTTAGTTAATATCAGTAATTGTAAATAATACTTCTAATAAATCAATTAACTTTTACACAATAGTTATATTGTGGAATTGACAACTGATTCTTAATTATGAAATGCTTTATTAAACTTGTTACAATTGTCTTTGAAAAATTTGAAAAGAGAATAATCAATTCAAGAATAATGGTTAATTGCTTAGATAAATAAATATTTATATGACTTTTATTTATCTTTCTATAAGAAATCTTATAAATTGTACTAATATATATACAATAAGTATTAATGAAATATGTTTACTAGCTATAATCATTATTGAAAGCCAATGATATTTTTTTAAGATCTTAAAGTTTTTTTTCTAAAAGCCATTTCTAATTTTAATTCTGGTTATATAAGTATGCCTAATGCAATATCAATAATCTCAAGGAATAATTTAAGAAAAATGGTGGAGTTAATAGTTAGAAAAGTAAAAAGAACCTATTATATTAATTTAAAAAAATTTATTGAAAACTTCTATAATAAATTCAAATATTTTTAATAATTAAATTAAAATTTTTTATTAATAATAAATATTATTTTATTCTTCACTAAAACACATTCAGTTTTCTATATAATTAATGCCTGCAGTAAGTCATAAATTAATAAACATAATCTAAGGAAGATAGAAAGTATAAAAATAATATTGTATAGTTGTATTTTTAGTCTTAGAATTATTATTACTTATATAGTATATTTTTGGTTACGTATTAATTTAATCATATAAATATCACCGGTGAGATAAATAGTATTATTTTATTATAAAATAATATGCTTATTTAAGGGAGTTTACCATATATATATTATACCTAATACAGTCAATCCTCCATAAAAAAACATGATTGGAATAGTCAAATTTTGTTCTATTATAGAGGTGTTCTTTTATGAAGTTATTTAAGATTATATAATAAAATATTTAATCAAATATTAAACAATTATATATATAATAATAATAAAATATTGCTAATATAATAAACTAACAATAAGAATAAAAAGATAATTCTTTCCACTGATCCTCTTACCAATCCAAAAAACAGACGTTCTTAAAAATAATTTTTATTTTTGATAATAAAGTCTATATACTTTCTTTAAAAATATTACTTTCTGAAGGCTGATACCTCCTTCACTTGTTTGTCTTTCCTTCTTTGAAAAACTTTGGATATTTCAGTGACAAAATAAATAAAACTTTACCCATCTGATTTACGGCAAGAACATCTTACTGGAAAGAAGAAACTTGTAGAAAAATACTTTCCACTATTTTCTCCTTAGATCAGGAATTTTAGAAAGTGAACCACTAGTGAATATGTTTTCCAAGACCTATAAGAATCTTGGGTCCACTATAAACAAACACCTTTTGTTCAAGGTGGATGGATAAGCTAGTTGGACTAACCAGTAAATATATCCTCAAGTAACATAGGAATCTTGGATTCACCATAAGTAAACTCCTTTGGTCCAGACAGGTGGATAAGCTAAAAAAATCTAGGCATATAAATCTTTTTCACCATTCATACATATCTGGTAGTTGGCACTTCTGAACATGTTCAATTTTTTTTGATTTTTCTGGGGAATTTTACCTACCTCAATTTGATCCTGAATTTTTTGTTACACTGAAAACTTTGAATAGTAATTGGCTGAAATCTTGGATTGATTGATCAACAAGTAAAAGAAATATAAACAAGACACGTATCCACACATGCCCTGTATCGTATCACATTATAATCAATGATGTAATTGGATAAAATGAAAGAGCAAGGCGTCAAGGTGTTTTCTTGTTAAGAAGTGTTGAAAGTCTTCCCCCTCCCCTCTTGTGCTGGTTTCTTTTTTTCTTAAGATCAAAGAAGGTTCTCATTAGGCTAGTGATTGGTTTTGGTAGGGTTTTTATATTATCAGTACAAACTTTTCTCCTTCCTTTTTACCCTTTTCTTTTATCTTCTTAAAAATATAAAAATTTTTTTATACCTTAGGACCACAGAGGTTAAGTTGAGGTAAACAGTTTTGATGAAGGGCTGGTAATAATATTGAGATTCACAAGGAACGTGAATCAAGATAGAGCAACTTTTTTCATTTTCTTAATTACATTTAAAGACTATTGGCTGTTGATGGGTATGTCATATAAAGTTTAAAAGTTTAACCTATAGTATAAATCTATCAGACACTGGATTTGTCTACCTATTTGTACCTGGGGTTAGTTCGAATCCAATAGTTTGTAAACTAATTCGAATGCAAATAAAACTTCAATATATGGCCTGATTAGATATAAAAAAAAAATAATAATAATGGAATAACAGTAAATCTGTTACTAGTTAGAAATAGAATTCATATAATCATTACTTTAGTTTATCAATAAAAATCTTAAAAGAAATATATTTGACTTAACTGAATTTTCTATTCTTTATTTAATTTTTTTTTTTAGATTTTATATAATTTTATTAAAAAAATTATAAAAGCATTACAAAATAATATAAAAATTCAGTGTTTCTATACTATGGTCCAAGTTGTTCTCTCTTTCAAGGCTGAGGGAAAATGCAGCCTTTTTATAATGTTTTGGTCAATTGTTGATCACTCTACTGTAATTATTTATGTGTGGTTCATCTATTTTACACAAAGAATGGTTAAAGAATTATTTTTGTTACACTTGGACGATCTGCAAAGAAAATTTTCATCCGTAAGACAAGAATCGAAATTACTCAAAATTATACTATGACAATCGTTTTTGAGCTCTTAACAAAAAGTGTTTTTCTAGTCTTTTCGCAAATAGTTACTTAGAACCACAAAGAAACTTTACAAGTTGGGTTTTGAGCAACGACGCTCCGAATTAGCTGCGCCGTTCGAAAATACTGTATATAGACGTTTTGAGAATTCTTAAGAGAAATATTACTTTGCCAATATAAAAATATATGTAAAACTAAGAAATAATAATAAATTATAATATTATATGATAGAATATAACCAAAATTGATAAAATTTAAAAAATTTTTATCAACAATATATACAATCCACAGAAATTGTTATATGTTCAGAAAAATAAATCTACTCCTGTATATTCAAATAATGCTCTCCTGAATATTGAAAATTCAAACTCTAGCAACTCATAGATTTCTAACAACAATAATATCAAGAAATATAAACTTATAAATGAATATAATACAATTATGAATTGGATTATTAAACTTGAGAACTATAAGCATAGTATTAATAATATCCTAAACTTCTTTAATGATATACTGTATATAGCTTCAAAAAAAGGAAAGAAAAAAGAATCACTAGCTAACAGCTACAAAAAAATAAAGTTCTAAAGAAGTAATTTCTTCAAAACCTTCATCACTAATGCTTATATCAAACCAGCCTACCAAAAAGAATTTGAGAATCTAGAACTACAGCTAACAAACTATTACAAAATCATTTACAATATAGGATACTTAACTTGTAAAACCAAAACCAAAATCAAAACTCTTATCATGAAAATAATAACAATTGCCTTTTTCAGGAAATTTGACAAAAACAATCATAGATTAATTGCTATTGCTCTGATCCTAGATTATATTTTCAATTTTTTTCTAGGGAAGAAAAACACAATTGATAGAAAAGAAATCATAAAAAGAATAGAAGAATATATTAATAACAAACTTCTACTCCTACTATTTATCTCCAAAGAAATACTCCCAGAAATCAAAATCAAATTACCATTAGCTATTTCAATAAAAAACAAACAATTAATAAGAATTATAGCCAAAGCTTTAAGATCCTACTTCAAATTTGAAAGTATATCTTCTATTTACTTTATTCAATATCCAATTCTCCCTTTAGACTCCAAGAATCCAATAGAATATTATTAAAACATCTTTCCTATTATTGAAAGAGACAACCTAAGAGACTTAAGGAATATTACCAACTTTTTCTGAAAAGATTACTATATTTTAAGCAAGCTTTCAAAAGAGTATTTTTAGCTTTTTTCCAAAAAAATACTTCTATCTTGAAACTATTTAAATCTTTTATACCATTTTGTTCAATTCTTTCTTGTAAACAATAATGTAGACTCAATCAGATCTGCAGTAAAAGCTCTCAAAAAAAATAATTTCTATGTTTTTCATCTATTCAATAACTTCATTAAAATCAAATACAAACTTCCCCTAATATACTGGATAATGAAAAATCAAGGAATTACTCTTTCTATTATCAATTAAAATTTTGATAAAGGTTTTATCAAAAATCTATAAAGACAATTTCTCTTTACTCTACCTTTAGAACCTGAATGGATCTTTTAAAATCTTAATCAAAATGACAAGTCTTTCTTTTTAGAGGACTTCGAAACCATTCAAAAAGATCTTAATTTTATTGGAAAAATTAATAAAACAAGTAAAGACTTTCCTACAATTATTCAAAAACTCTATATTAAATATAATTTCTTATGTATTCCTGAAGAATGGATTATCTTCAACCTTTCAGAAATTATTAGTATAAAAGAAGCAAACCTAATTCTCAAAAACAACAACTTTACAATAACTCTGCCACTAATCAAGAATGAAAACCTTAACACAAATATCAGAGAACTTCATAAACTT